GTGCGTGCGTGCGTGCGTGCGTGTGCGTGCTATATTGTATATTACATCCAATGTAATATACAGTGTAGCACACACACAATAGATACCTAATATTGCATCTAAGATGAATTAATTTTATATTAAAAAAATAATTTTTATAATTTTATATAAAAATTAAATTTTATTTGAGAGATTTAATTTTGCTTGGTAGGGGAGGGGATTTAATTTTGCTTGAGGGATAAACTTACCCAAGCTGCTTCGCGTAGTCGAGATATCCAAGAAGAATCTCATGATACACAGCCGTTCGAAATTGTCTAGGCCGGAAGAAGTGGACAGAGTCCAGATACGCGATATAAACCCGTCTGGTGTTAGGCGGCGTGCATTCGCTCCCGTACTCCTGCACGTGCATACCGAAAAAACAGACGTCGGTGCCGTCGACCTCCTCGAACGCGAACAGCGCCTTCGCGCGGTACGGGAATTCACCGGGCATGTCGCCGTTGTCGACGAATCTACTTCGCATACCGGGCTTGACCTCGACCACCTTGTCGCTGGATGCGACTACCCTGATCGCGACCTCGCCGGCGCCCGCTTCCTTTTTCTTCAGGAAATTATTCACGCGCGTCTCGATATACGTGCCAAGCTTCGTCACGGGCAAACGTTTGGCGTTGAACTTATTCTCTTTGCGTTTCTGTCCCTTCTTCTTTAAGCAATTATCACAGGTAAATCTGTTAAGAGAAAAATAACTTGCTAAGTACGCAAGATATTTTATAGCTTTCCCAAAATTGAAATGCCGACATTAAATAATGCGGACGCATTTCTTTTTTTATTTTAATCGCGAGAAAATATAATCCGTCAAATCTCTTCGCGGTTTCTTGGTAGAGAATTATTTATAAAATAAAATATAGAATTATTTACCCCAATGGCCAGATTGCTTCCATATGGAGCACACAAATTTGATGTACTCTCCTACCACAGTCTGTACAGGTTACAAAAGGCTCCAATTCTAAGTGATCATTCTTCATTTCCTGGAACTGTTCCTTCTTGATGGCACTACGAGGAACGAAGGAATGTCGTATAGATGTCGTATCGGATCGGAATAACATTAACAATGGTTACATGCGTTTAATTCTTTATTACTTACGTTTGAGGCTGCGTTGGATCATCTCCCAACGTCACTGTGTCACCAGGAATGTCGTTGAAACATTTCTGACAGAAGGTGTATCTGTCGGAAAGAAGACCAATTCCCTTTAGACCACTATTATATTGGCGCCATTTTTATTATGTAAATTCGATGTACGACGACCAATTTATTCCAAATGTGTGTCCAAGTTTCGGCATATTGTATTCCGTCAATTTCGGCAAGTGTTTTTTTTTGTTTTATATATACATTCGATTTTGTTTCGCAATTACACATGCATGCAATGGCCAATTGGATCCGATTTCGGTTTTCGAAAGACCGTGGAAAGGCATCGTTCGGGTTTTTTTTTCAGATTAGAGTTTTCCAAGTATCAAGTTTTTCGCAGTAGTAGAGTCGAAAAGAAGCAAGGTCGCAGGCAACACAAGAAGTAAGCGGCAAACAAGGTATTGTGTATGCGTGCGCAACCCATGGGCGAAGACATACAAAGAAGAAGAACAGTGCCAATGTTAAAAAAATATCACTTTATCTGTCATTTTATAAATCCTAATCGCGCATATACCGAAGGGCCATGTAAAGCCATTTATATCCTCGCGATCAATAAGCTTTCCTTACGAACGCTGTAACTTTCTTGCAACTTTCTCTCTTCAAGGCTAAACATTTTGTGCTTTTAATAAGATACATATCCCTTAAGTACATGCGCAACTAATAAACAAACTTTAAGTGCGTGAGTTTAATACGAAAGAAAATTCGTACAACATAGCTTCGAAAGAGTGTAGATCAGGGGACTGGCTTACTTTTGCATTTACTATCAAAAGCAAGCTAATAAACCTGCCAATTTAATTTTGCGTATTCAACAAGAGGACACTTTTATATTAAAAGGCTCTATACAAGATGAATACGCGGGGATCAGCGTTCTCCAAATGCCCTATAAGCTTGTGTGACAGCCGTATAGAACATTACTTAAAACGTAAGTTATCGCTACTTGTACACAATATTACAAACGTGTCCCCATTACGCACGCTCTAATTACAGAAAAATTACTCAAACTAAATGTACATAATACTTAAAATGTTATCTCTCACGTACTTAATGCATTCGCACTGACAAAAGTAATATAATGGATTAACCAAACTTCAATTTGAAATTAGAATACATCTATGTATAAAAGTATTAATATTTTGATATAATCACGGCATTCATTTCTACTACATTTAATATTAACATTTTAAGCATTAGTGTTTTTTTTTTCAAATAACGTATTATTTCTCACGTCAATTAAGTTCTATGCATTAAAATTCAAAATAAATACTTGAATGTATTGTGCATACTGACCTGTTCTGATACGAGTAATACTTTGCATCCCTGGGTATCGTGCAAAGCTGCTTGCCGTAGCAGCAAAGCACCTGCGGGTTGAACGTGTATTTTCGGCCGCAACAATAGCCCAGTGCCTGCATCACAGGATCTATCTCCTGCTCGAACACTTCCGAGAGCTGCGTTTGAAAAAAAAAAAAAAAAAAGAGTAAATCATACATAAACGCATGTTCATTAAGTTATTAAGAAATTAGCGGTAATATCGTCAGATAAACATTACCTTGGTGCAATATCTATAGACTCGAGAAGTCTTGCGATTATACAGCCAGGCGTTGTCAAACATCATCCACACGTCGTCGACGTACTCCCACGGATCGCTGTACTTCTCCGTGTCGAGTTTCTTCTTGATCGTCGACAGATCCATCGGTTTCTTCACGATGGTGGGATAATCCGGTATACCCAATGCTTGAGGATCAACCGGTTGTCGGAACGGTATGGACTCGGGATCTTGTCGATATAGCTTCTCCAACGTTGGCATCAGCGCCTGGCGCAGCTCATCAGGCTTGAACAAGCATTTCTTCTTGTCAGTGGACGTGCCACTCGGTTGGATCGGTTCCGGCACCAAGGGCTTAATGTCGGAGGCGGTCGTGTCCTGACTGGACACGGGGGTCATGCTCTCCTCTTTAATGCCAGGCTCTTCCTTCACGGTCGCTTCATTCGAGCCCTCCTCCATTGGTTCGGTCTTCGGCTCGACCTTGATATTGATTTCATTGTTCACGCTCTTACCGTCCATCCTGTGATTCTGCGGCTCATCCGGCGGCTCTTGTTTGATCTCCATCTTTATCTCCTCCTTGATGGAATCCAATTTACCCTTGTTGTTATTCATCGGCGGGCTGGGCGAATTGTCACGATCCAGCGCTGCCGTAATGGCTGCCATCTGCGAGGACATGGATGTGCTGCGTGGAGTGTTCAACGCCGCCCGTTCCTGCGAAGTCATACCCTTGCCGAGACTCGCAAGGCCGGCTGGAGACGGTGTTGGGCCCGAATGGGGCGGCGTCTGATTCGATGCGGAGGAGACCGTTTGATTCGGCGTCATTAGCGACGGTACGAGCGGCGTGTTTGGCGTGGAGGTGGTCGACTGAGGTCCGTTTGTCGTACCCGTAGTCGTCACGGATACGCTACCCGTTGGACTCGGCCCGCTGGACGCGGGCGGTGGTATCGTCTGCGGCGTCGATGTCGTAATGCCATTGTCATTAGGCGTGGTAGCTGACAACGGTCGCGTTGGGAATTGTTGATTCGGTTGCTGTTGCGACTGTTGCTGCGACTGCTGCGCACTTGGTTGTTGCATGCCGCTGAACGGTGATGGTGCTTGCGGAATCGATGATGCCGGAGTACCGACCTGGCTCGGAGTACTCGTTGGCTGCTGCTGACTTTGCTGCTGCTGCTGCTGCTGCTGCTGCTGTTGTTGTTGCGCTGCTTGAGCCTGGGCTTGCGCCAGTCTGACTTTCATGAGGTCGGGGAATTGATGCTGGTTTTGGATGGGAGAGCTGTTGGGCAAACCGGCAGCCGTGCCGTTGGACGTCGGGAATTGACTAGTCGTCGCGCTGTTAGATGCAGTGGTGGTCGTGAGGTTAGCTTGGGACATTTGAGGTTGTCCAAACGGGCTGAGTCCAGGATTAGGTACCATGCTGGCGTTGGATGTAGACTGTCCATTTGGGCTAGGACCAGGAGGACCAACCAGAAGTCCTTGTTGCTGCTGCTGTTGTATTTGCTGCTGAGCTTGCACCTGCTGCTGTTGAGCCTGCTGTTGTTGTTGCGCCTGCTGCTGCTGTGGGAACTGCATTCTATTATGCTGTTGTTGAATGGCCATCGCTGGTATCGTTCCCAGTTGATTCAAACTCGGTGAGTGACTTCGTAAGGTAGGTGGTACCGTCCCGACGGGTTTTGACGCCCCTGGCATGACAGTACTAACATTTGGAGGCGCGCATGGCCTTAGTCCAGGACCAGATGTACCTGCTGGTGGCTGTGGTGGTTGCTGCTGCTGCTGTTGCTGTTGTTGCGCTTGGAGCTGTTGCTGTTGCTGCTCTTTTCGTTTTTGTCGTTTTTCGTCTGTAAAAATGCGATTATTCGAATAACCGCTCTTACTTTAATTTAAAAGAAAAAAGTGGGTTATTTCTAAAAAAATGTTAATTAAAATATGGACATATTTGACTATGTATACATATAAACATATACACAATCGAGTATATTCAAGTCATTAGAAAGAATGTAATAGATGCTCTTCAGCAAAAGACACAGATGACAATTTAATACAGTGAATCATTTCATCTTTGTTTAACATTGGCGAGCAACAAAAATTTAACAATTCACTTTGTCATTTATGTCTCTTGCTGGAAAGCACACAATGTTAATAACAACAAAAAATTGACTGCAAAATATATTCATAGTTCATTCTTATACTGAAAAATGTCTTAAGTAGTCTCAAGATGTCATAAAACACAGAATCATATTAATCTATTTATGACATTATTTAAAACGATTTTGAAGAACGTTCCAAGAATATAAACTTTAAAGAAATATCCAGGTACTGTCGAAATTGCACTATTTACCTAGCTCCTTTTGAATCTTGTAAATTTTTTCAGCTAGCAGATGGTAATATTCTGACCGAGAGTTGGCCATTTCGTACATGTCACCTTCCACCTTCCTCGCGTATGCGACCAAGTTGTGCATTCTCTTATCGAGCATGGCTTGCGGATCGGGAGTCGGGAATATTGCTTGAACCCTAAGAAAAATAAATAGACACGCTACAACATACCGAGACAAATTCCGAACGAGAACGCGTTATTATACATAAAACTCTCACTAACAATTTATGAACGAGATGGTTCCTGAGATCTGGAGTGACGGACAAATGCCACTCTTTTGTTCCTTGCACTGGCGACGCCGTAACTTGACCCGCTTGAAGACCGCTTGGAAGCTGCAGATTTCCTAATCTATTTTCCCCGCTTATCACGCCGGGTTGCCCGGACTCGTTCAGTCCGAACAACGTTTGCATATTAACAGACTGCTGTATATTGGCAGCGGCCGCCGCTGCGGCGGATGTGGGTCCGGTCGTCGGTACCGTCTGATTGCCGGCTACCCCGACCGTACTAGGATCGGAATTTAAAGGAAGAGATACGTTCGGAGCGACTACTTGTTGTCCAGCACTGACTACGGATTGTCCCGGTGCAGCTGAAACATTAGCGGACACCGGACGCTTGCTTTTTGCGCAAATATCTATACGCACCAATCTTATACTTTTTAACAGGATAATGTGTAAAAAATATATTTTTACACAGATATAAATTTGAAAGAAGCATTAAAGATGCATTAAGATTGCATTAAAATTAAAAAAAAAATGCAAACATTTAATAGATCTTTATAATAAAATGTGCAACTTACTCTGTGTTTGAGGTTGCGCTAATCTAACGTTGCCCAGTGCTCCTGGACCTGTCATGCTGGGAGCTGGCATTCTAACGCCTCTACCAACGCCTTGACCGGGCAAGATCCCCGGTGTTGTTGTTGGACATTGAATCCCTAAAGCTTCGTAAGCCCTTCTCATTTCGGATGGACTTGTATTTGGCTGATTATTTGGTTGAATTGCAGGTGCTAACGAAAAGACATACATATAACGGACGTATAATGCAAATGTATGTGTCTTTAAATAAATGCCATTTGAAATATCTGCTAAATCATAGGAAACAAAAAAAAACACTATTATTATTTAGGGATTATTTTTTAGGGAGTAAAAAATCTGATGCAAAAAAATGACAAGTGTTTTCAAATGTGTTTACCTTGCGCAGAATTAGTCCTGTTCTTATTTGCTTGTTTTATCGGCAAGCAGACTGGGCAGTCACTTCGATTACAGTGCTTCCAATGACTGATGATCTGTCGAGACATGCTACAGTGTGGCACAGTACAATTCTTTCCGGCTTGACAATTTGTCATGTGATTTAAAACGTTTTTCATGGTTTTGCAGTCCGGCAAGGTGCACTGTCTCATCTCACCGTTCGCTTGACTCTCGCGTCGTTGGCATTTATGCGCATGCAAAAGTAACACTAATTGTTGCTGTATAAGTCTACATTTTTCTGGATCGGGCGTTGATTTCGCACCTAAAGCACCAGACAACCCAAAAGACAAGGTTTGCATTGAGCATAGGTGCAGTGTCGTGACGCGTTTTACAATAGGACAAGCTAGAGATTTAACTCACCCGTTGGAGCACCGGTACCAGGCATTTGTCCTTGCGTGGCTTGCTGCGGACCTGGTTGCCCTCCGGTCGGCGCACCCGATTGAGGTTGAGCTGGGCTTGGTGCTGGTGGTTGCGCTTGTTGCGCTGCCGTTCCGCCCTCCTGACCACCTACGACGTTCGTAGTGCCCATCGGGCCGGCGGTACCGGTAAATCTGCTGGCGGCGGCTGCCGCTTGCATGGGACTTATATTCGTTCCTACGCCCTTCTGCTGCGGTTTGACGACACCTACGGGATTATTGGCGCATACAGTTACTCCTGCTCCTTGCCCAACAGTATTTGAAGAACCTGTATTATAAATTTTGTTTTCACCGTTCTAAATCTATCTCTACTATGCCCGTTTCTTCTTTACATGTATAATTGCATATGTATAAAATAAAATATAATTTTATTGCATACCATAGCTGTACGGATTCGATGCACTTAGTTGCCCCATTGTTGGCATATTTGCCATGTTAGGAGCCTGCATTCTGGGGCCACCCTGACCAGGCCCGACGATGCCAACTTGATGTACCTGTTGATGAGGACTCTGCCCTCTCGCCGGGCCAACCATATGTGCCTGTTGTTGCTGCTGCATTGCCACAGCTCTCGTGTTCATCATTCCGGGGCCGTTTTGCAGCGGTGTTACCCCGTGAGGAGCACCGGGGTGGTGTATCGCTTGAGTATTAGGGCCCATCATCGTTACCTTCAAAAGATTCTCGATTAAATTTCCAACTATCTTTTTACTGGAGAAAAAAATTATAATATCACGCAAAATCAACATACTGTATTTAAAGGTTGTTTGTTCAAACTGTTGGTCACTATCAAGCTACCGCCAGCCATGCCTCCCATGTTGTTCCCGCTAGCGGTGCTAGTCATCACTAAACCGGAATTCATGCCGCCCGGCATCGACATCGCGGGGTTACTTCCGGCCATGCTCATCGACGATTGTAAACCGCTCATCGAATTCGCGATCGACATTTGATTATTCGCCAACGAACTGGCTATACTACTTGGTAGATTACCAAGGCTCACGACCATCTGCGGATCGACTATCCCACCCTTGGAAACGGAAACGTTCGGTGGCGATTGCATATTTGGACTCTTGTTGCCTAACGTTCCAGCAGCCATTACTAAGGAGTTTGCCACCAAGTTTTTGTTGCCCTGTTCAATGATCGCTCGGTCAAGTACAACGTGCGTCGATTAACAAAAATCGTAAAATATCTAATGTAACGCGTACCTGCTGTTGAATAAGATGATGAGAGAGTTGTTGCTGCTGCTGCTGCTGCACATGTTGTCTGAGTTCTGTATCGAGAGCACCGTTTTGCTGCCCTGGACCGGGACCGGTTGCTGGTGGCTTGGTGCTCTCGGTTGTGGAACCCCAAGATCCGGATGACAGCAAGTCATCAGGAAGATCATTTTCAATATCAAACATTTCTGTGTTGGAAATGTAATCTGAGAATAAAGAAGAAAAAATAATTAGGAATCACGTTTCCAGAAGTGTCCAACATTACGTTTCCGTCGTGATAACAAATACTGGCTATCAGAAAAGTACATCTCTACATTTGTTGCATGGTCGTGATCAGAAGTTGCGACATTTTTATTTTGATGGGGATCTCGGAATGCACTAACATTTTGCAAAGACGAAACACAGTACACCAATCGCGATTCGCATTCGAAAGATATTAGTGCATTTTAAAACCCATTAAAATAAAAGTGTCGCAACCTTTCTGACCACGACCATACACTTATGCGAGTAGAATGTGTGACTTGCAGTATCATCATTAGTTTTACTTTTACTGTTTCATTTTACTCGCTGTGTAATCAAAATAATCATTTTATCTGTTTTTAAATGGTTTCAATTTTGTCACGAATGTACTATTTCCCGAGATAACCAGTCCGCAGATTCAAATGATTATAATATTAAAAATGATAAGTACCATAGATACCAAAAGATCATTAGTAATTTTACAAGGGTAAGATTTTAGGCGCCGTCACCATAGCTTTTTAGCATCAAAATTTTAGCAGAGTATCAATATATTTGATATTACAAATGTACGTGTTACATCATTATGTGCATAATGTATTATACCCTTTTTATATACATGTATACACATATAACTGCATGTAAATATACATATATACATGCGTGTATATATATATGTAGAGAGAGACACGTACAGGCAAAGAAGCATTCAATTTTCATCTATATTACAAGGTACTTCCGATGCTATTAACATCATTAAAAAAATGTTCACGTAAACATTCCTTAGCAAATAAAATTGTTGAAACTTACTCGTCTACCCACGACTGATCATACATTGACGGAGAAAAAAAGGGTGTACATATATAAATGTATAACGTATGTATATGTAGGAAAAAGTACAAATGCAAGAGGAGATCCTAATGTATTAAAAAGAAAAAAAAAAAAATATATATATATATATAGAAAACTGTACGTGGTTGTAAACAAACATGAAAAATAAGACATGAGACATACACTGCATGAGCATAACGTAAAGGAGCCTTATTCTACAGCAGAATGAAAATTTTCGGCACAATTAAATTAGTGCTAAAACTAAACAAGCATCCAGCGAAGCTACCGAATGGCAAACTTTATAGAAGAGAGTCATGCGAAGAAATCAGTCACTCTAGAAAAAAAAAAATTATCTGTTCAAGCAAAATACTCTCCCGTCGCGGCCACGCGTTCGTAATAGACCGTCGTTTCTCTCTTCGTCCTAAAAGGAAATCAAATGCAAAAATTTCTCAACAACTCTAACGATGATCCGTCCCGCGCGCACGCACGCAGGGTTTTTCAATCTATATTTACGTTCGGTTATAAATATCTGCAAAAGATTTAATTGATATAAGGCCTGGTATAGTCAACCCTCTCCACCTACGCTATTTATTATCTGCGTTGTATCGTGAAAAATCTCTTTACCCTACAAGCACAGTGTATAGTCGTATATGCGTATTTATTTCACCTTTGCAATTCCTCCGCAAGTCCACGAGCTCGAGCGCGTGTGTGTCGCATGTCTATATGTTATATATATATGTTTAATTCACATTGAGAAATGTCGCACGGTGTTCATTCAGAAGAAAAGAGGGGGAACTCTCGCTTAATCCTGAAATCTTTATGTACCTTTCAGCAACGACCGATCTCCAATTTTTCTCCATTGCTATGTAAAGTGAATCAGTCCGTGATCGAAGACAATACTTAATACATCCGTATTGCCACTCTATCTACAATGCCTTGCCAGATTTTTTTTTTTTTTTTTTCAAAGACAAATTATCACACGACATCCATTATCTTTTTTTCACTTTCTTCTCTAACCGTGTCTGTGCGTGTCGACAATAGACTAAAAGTTACTAGAGAACCATAGTGACAATGTGCCAAAACTATCACCCACATCGGAAAGTACTGCGACCGGAGGATGTCACTGAAAATCAGAGACTGGGACGAGTAAACTTTAAAACGAGACAAACGGTATGGTACTGTACGTGAGATGAGATCGGACGGACAAACAGATTTCATGATTTTTTTTCTTTTCAGCGACGTCGAAACTTAATGCCTTTTCTTTTTTCTTTTACTTTCGAGATTGTCGCTTTTTGATCTGATTAGTGATATTTACTTCTTTTCGGCACGGAATTGTTGTTCCAATGTTGCTGCAGTTGATGTTGTTGCAGATGTAGTTGTTGCGGTGGAGCCTGTATTTGTTGCATGTTACCACTGCCACCTCCCCCGTAGTTCGTATAAGCAGGGTGCATCAATAAAGGCGGCATACCCACTACTATATCACATTTTTTCGTTTTAATTTAGAATGAAGGAGAGAATATACTGTTGTCAAAGCTTGTCTTTCTCCGGACTACGGGTACTCTTAATGTCCACTTTCCACCAATGTAGATTAGATTTAATCACGGTTTAACTTGTCTCTTATCCTTTTCTAGTTCTAAAAGTTAGGAAAATCTCGGCATTACAACTTCTTCTCCTTTACTTGCTTCTTATTTTTTTCTAGTTCTGAAGAAAAAGAAAAAGGTAAGGACAAGTTGAACTGTAGATTAAAATTAATCTACATTGGTAGAAATGAACGTAAGTGATAGAAACAGTTTGAGAGTGTGGCTTTTCGATCGCCGTCGACGAGAGTGACACGTCCCGCCCGCGACTCCCGCGCGCGGATCGCGAAAAACACCGGGCAAACTGTTTCTGCGACTTTTGTCCGCTTGGTACCCTCGCGAAAGAAGCGAATTCCGAGAGAGATTCCGCGATTATTACATCCGAGTAAAAGATAATTACAGTCGATAACAATACAGCGTTATTATGTGTGCGAGTCAACTTCGAGTTTGAAAACTGTTAAAGGATGATTAAGAATGTGTTCGAGGGGGGGTAATAAAAAAATAAAAATAAAATAAAATAAAAAGGGGAACAAAGAGATATATTAGCGCATCGTTCATGCCAGCGAGATGTAATCTTTTAACATTAAAGTGATCATGCACCCTCATGCACTACAGGATATATCGCAACTATGTTTTTTTTTTAAATCTAGAGTAATGTGTCTATAGAGAAATGTACAGAATTGCACGCGTCAGTAATGCCGCATTCGTTTAATAAAAATAAAGAAAAAAAACCCCAGAAGAAGGGGGTGAGTGCGATAAAAGACGGAGGAAGAAACAGGGTGTTGTTCTCGCGTTACAGTTACTCCCGCGCGCGCGTACGCGTCAATCCGCGTGATAATCCCCCGAGCGAAACTCGGCCGGCCCGCGCGCGTGCATCCATCTTGCGTCGACGGAGCCCCCGTTCTCGCGTCGACGGAGCCCCCGCGTTTCTCGCGTGGCGTCGCGCCGCGTCGCGTCGCGTCGCGTCACGACGCCGTCCCTCTTGATCGTCGGTCGCGTCGCGTCGCCGCGAGAAAGGGGGAAACGGAGCGATTCCTCGCGCGTACGCGAGCTTTAATTCCGCCGGCGAAACAGACAGGTATATACATGTGTTCGATCATGACCGGGGGAACCACCGCGACACTCGGCGGCGCACGCCGTGCGCGAGAATGCGTCTCTTCGCGCGCTCCGAATCACGCGATCAGACCGGCGCGTCTCACACGGGGGATTCGGCGACGCTTGACTCGACCGATCCTTCGGCGAGCGCGACGCGACGCGCGGCGTCACGCAAACAGACGGCTGGCTGACCGGCCAGCGATGGCGGTCAGCTGCAGAGCACCCGAGAAATCATGTGAAAATCACGCCGTTGGGGGTCTCTCCCCCAGAGGGCCAGAGTATCCCTTTTTCTCCGCCGTGCACGCATGTACGCGCGCGTGTGTAAATGTATGTATACATTGTGTGCGTTACACTCGAGAGGCGCGTTACAGCGTACGCGTGCACCGCGAACTCCTACGTAAGGTTAGTCGCGGAACTGCGCGCGATTCCCGGAAGGAAGAAAGGAAGAAAGGGCGAAGAGGGTAGGAATTTCTTCCTTCCTTACTTCCGGAAGAAGGGGGTGTAAAGGAAGTTCCTTGCTTCCGGAAAGAAAGGAAAGGGAGGACAGAGAGACGATTGTCAGATACAAAGAAATCGAAAGGAGAGTGAGAGAAGGAATCGCGGTGGTTCGGGAGAAAAAAAAAATAGCGTGACGCTTGGGGACGACTCCAGCAACTTACCCGTCGAATCCGACGTTCCCTGGAACGGATCGAGCTTCTGCCGCTTCGGCGGAGGGCCGTCCACCAGGTGGTCGGCCATGGCTCCTCCGCGCGGCTGTTATCTTCCTTCCGTAATAACCTAACCTCTCGCGCTCTCGCTCTTCCTTCCCACTTGCGCCCGTCTCTCGCTGATCCCTCTCGACCACCAGCGCGCGAGCGGGCGGGCGGGCGAGCGAGCGGGCGCGCGCGCGCGCGCGCGCGGACACAGGTAGCACGACCGCCGCGTCCGGTCGTGCACGCGCACGTAGAAGACGGCGAAAACGGCACCGCGAGTGAGCCTGGGTGAAGCGCCCGGTTGGCCCCTGTCTCCTCTCAACTAGAAGACCACCGTCGCCGTGCTCCTGGTCGGCGCTGGCGCCGTTGCTACATTCGCCGTTGCCGTGGTCGTTATCAATCCAATCACTGATGATGCGGTCGCCGATGACGACGATGATGCTACAGCTACCACTTCCTCCCTGCCGCCGGCGGGGCCGCGTAACAATTTCACCGTGCCGCAATCGTGCTCGCGGGCATAACAATAACAATGAGAACCGTGGCGCGTGGAGCGTCCCCGTGTAGCATACTGCGGTGCACGGTCAACCATTGGGCATCGTAGGGCTCGGGGTACGTCGAACCCCCGGCGTCAGAGCCCGCGAGCGCACGGGCAGGCAAACAGGTAATACACACGCGCGGTTTGTATAAACGCACCAACAAAAACGCACCAAAAGCACCACCGCGACGGCGACGACGACGACGACGACGACGACGACGACGACGACGGCGACGACGGCGGCGGCGACGACGGCAGTGACGACGACGGCGACGACGACGACGAGTAATGTCTGATGCTGCTCCCTGTCTCTGTCTCTCTCTCAAGCTCTCCTTCTCTCCGGCGAACGACGACGGAACGGCTGCGGCGCCGCGTCGCCGGCGGGACGGGACGGCAGATCAGCGCGTTGGAAGCCGAGGACGATCCGACGGTGGCGATCGACGGAGCGATCTCAGTGACGACGACAGCGGCGACAACGGCAGCGAGGACGACGACAATGTCGGCGAACAGAGAGACCCTCCGCCGCTCCGAACGCTCCGAGAGACGGATGAGCGCGCGACGCGCGGACGGACGACTCGGCGAGTCTCTCGGGCTTGACTCGCGGCTCGTCTCGTCTCCTCTCGTCACGACTCGATTCACCTCGACTCGCTCGCGACTCGGACGCACCGCCGAATATCTCGCGCTCGCGCTCCCGCTCTCTTTCTCTCTCTCCGGTTCTCTCGTTCTCGCTCTCACTCTCTCGCTCGCTCGTTCGTTCGTTCTTTCTCTCTCTCGCTCTCTCTCTCTCTCTCTCTATCTATCTATCTCTCTCGATCGCTCTCTCTCTATCTCTCTCACTCTCTATCTCACCCTCGACACTTGTCTATCCTCGTAAAATACAACAATCGTATGTATATCCACCGCGGTCGTACGTGCTCACCGCACGACGACTCGCCAAACGACTGGCTGCGCGCACGGCGCTAGCTCACGGCGACGATGTCGCTCCCGAGGCCCTCTGGTACCATCTTCCTCTCCTCTTCTCTCTCGCCTCGGTACACTGCGACACACGGGGCGCGCGAACGATCAGCGGGAAATGAGCGTTTATCCCCGTGCACTCGCGCGCGATATCGGGACGCGAGCAAGCGGACGCGATCGCGGGTATCGGCACATTCGCGGCCGCCGCGCTCGCCACAGAAATTCGCTCGGGAAAACCGATCGCGAGACCCTCCGTTACCGCACCGAGCATCGGCTAACGTTAGCTAACGTAAAATGGCGGCCGCTGTTGACGAGTTTTTCTACGCTTGTCAGAATATGCCCCCGTCTTCTGACTCGGCGACAATGGCCGTGACTCTAGACCGCGGCGTCGATTGGCCCAGGCGGTAACGTGACCAAGCCGGGAACGCGCGATTGGCCCCCGCGCGGCTCGCCGAGGAACAGGAACGCCGCGGTTACGGTCACGCCGCCTGTCGGCAAGAGCCTCCGCCACGGACCGCTCGTTTCCGTGGCGCCCCTCGCGCCGTTGTCGCACGCAATCATGGCCGCGTTTACCGACCCGACCCGAAGCGTGCCGCTTTGCTCTCCTCGTCGAGGACTCGTCTCCGAAGACTGTAAGTCCGGCTCTTCTCTCCCGACAGGAAGACGCACGGCCGACGACGCCGGACAGTGCCCAGCGTGATCGCGAATTCGACGCGAATCTCTCGGCATCTCTCGTATAAGTAGATTCGCTGGCGTCTTTGCGCGATTATCGCGGCGACGCAACGCGACGCGATCCTGGATCGCGTGTGTCGATCTGTCACGTTGCTCGAGATGTATCTCGGGCGACGAAAAAGTGAGAAATTCTGCCGATCTCGCGAAATCGCCGACTGTCGAAGTAATCTTTTTCGAACGACTTTTGTGGCTCATTTCTGTCAACGTAGATTGAAACTTCAATTTCGGCCTCACTCCTGCATCTTTGTGCAGTTTTTAAGAATTAGAAAAGGAGAAAGATAAAGAGTAAGTTAAACCGAGATTGAAGTTGATCTACAAGTTGATAGAAATGGACATTAAACAACCCCTTTCTTTAATTCTTCTCACTTTCAATCAAAAAGAGGATTCTCGTGAAAATTATATTCGTTTTGCGAAAACAATTTGTCTTGCCACACGCAAAGATACGTGTTTACATTAGGTTTTTTTTACGATGATTGATATATGAAAGTCGCGTCGCAAACCTTAAAAAAAATGTGTGCTGTGCTATTTATTTCCTTTAATAAAATATTGAACACCTCTACTCTTCCTTGTTATCCCAGAAAGAAAAATGATAACTACAATTCACGTTTTGTATACGAACACATTGACTTCATTAATCTGTTCTTATAAAATTGCGTCACGATAGAGATGTCGCGCGTGTGATTTTTTTATTATTGACGTTATCAAAATTATCATATTCATCTCTATTACAGTATAATGCGGTTGTGTAATACAACGCAGACAATTTGGCGACTGAGATTGCACATGGAAAAAAAAAAATCTCCGATACGCGCACGTCCAAAGTATAAACCTTATCTGTCGCCGGAGCTGTCAGGAATTTGTTGCAAGGTGGTTCCGCGGAGGAAACATTCGACGGTCAGTAATCCCTGATATCTTTCAGCGTAATTAACTTTTCAACAATGAAGAATCCTCATTTCGCAGTTTGATACATCGGGGATCTTTGAAATATATATAATATAATACGGCTCCTTTCGTTCGTCGTTACATTTACAAAAGTCGACGGTGCAGAAGTCAAAACGCAATTTCGAATTAAAATATGCATAAATCGATTGCAATATACAATACAGTAACTTGCATTAAGATGTTAATAAAATGAATTATTAAACGTAATGTACATTGAAATGAAAAGGAGGAAAGGAGGCGCGCAGGGGGGGTTGGAGAAATGTGAACGTCAGGTTCTCGCGTCTCATCCGCTCTGTCAATCTTATCTGTCAGTCGCGTCGATTCTCCTTCCGCGATTATCCGCGTGCGTAGCGCGGATTATCCCGCGGAAACGCGGTCGGCGTCGCGAAAGTAAACGCGAGCGGCACGCGCGCGCCATGTCATTTATTTTTTTTTTCTCTCTTATCTCAAATCACTTTCGCCACCGTCGCCGATACACGTCGGCGTCGTTCCCCTGAGGAAGACGTTTGTCGCGCGCGTTTTCCCTCTCCCTTTCTCGAGATAAGGCTTTCGAAATATAGCTATGCTCTCGAAATTTGGGAAAAATTCGCAAAACTTCGACGGGCGGCAAGATGGCCAAAGGTGTGATATCTATCAATTCTCTCTCTTTCTCTCCATCTCTCTCTCTCTCTGTCTCTGCCGAGTCGAGAGAGGAACGGCCGGCCGCGCGTACACCGCGTACACGTAGGGGGAGAGGGCACGTTGCGCGGAACGCTCGTCCCGTACCGTGGAGTCCGCGGCTCGCCGCGCGCGCGGGACGGAGGTGCGAACGGCACGCGACCCGACGCACGCATCGCGCGTGAACCTGTCGGCCGTCTCCCTCTCGCGCGACGTCGGCCGTCTCCGTCGTCGCGGCGGCGGCGGCGGCGGTGGCGGCGGCGGCGGTGGCGGCGGTGACGGTGGCGGCGGCGGTGGTGGCGGTGGCGGCGGCGGCGGCTGCCGCGACGAGGAGAGCGGAAAAGAAACGGGTGAACGCTCCGACGGGCGCGGAGGGTGGAGGGGCCTTTCGAAATGGGACGGGAATCGGATGACGGCGTGGCAGCAGCCGCCTAGCCACCCGCCTCGGTGACAGCGGCTCTTTGTATACCAATACCTCGTATAGAGGATCGCCGCCGCCGCGCGTCGCTATAATATGTACGCGACCCGTCATTCGCGGTTTCTGAGAGATTCCGAGACCACGGGCACGGCTGCACGCTCTCTCGCTCTCTTCCTCTCGTTCTTTATCTTTTTCTCTCTCTTCTTATTTGGGGGACAGGGGGGGGGGGCGAGAAAGAAATCCGCGCGGCCCTCAGCGACGGCGATCCTTCACGGTTCCGCGCGTCATCATCGAGAGGAGACGCACGGCGATGACGTCGGGGGCTACCGAGTTATCTCCGTCACGTGACGATCGAAGGGATAATCTCGGCGGGACGGATCGATGCCTGACGCGACGGTATTTGATAACGCGGAGGGATGAGGACCCGCGTATATACGCGTACAACGTATCGGCAATTGGGGGGGGGGAGGGGGGCCAAGGGGAGCGAGGAGAGCCGCGAGTCGCGAGGTGATCGCGTGAACCATTATTCGATGGCGGTTACGTAACTCTCGTCTTTGCTCGAAACACTTCGGGCGGAGGTGGGCCGCCACCGCCGCCCGCCGAAGCGTTCTCGCGCTCGCCTCTTCACGCCGCACGGCGAATTCCGGAAAAGCGTAATCGATCGTTGCCGCGCGCGCGGGGCCGCGCTCGCTCTCGCTCTCCGGTCGCATCGCGGCCCCACGATTTATGTCTGGTCTCGCGTGCCCACGACCGCGCGCGCGGTGCATCGACCCATCTCTCGCTCCTTCGCCTCGCGTCGCGTCGCGAAACGCTACGCGTCTATACGCGGCGCATATACGCGCCGTACGCGACTTTACGTTGTGCCGAGGCGCGCGCCGTAAAGGAGGAAGGAAAGCCTGCCTGGTTAAAACATCCTCCAAGTCCTCTTGCTTTTTTCCTCCTCCTCTCGTCTCCTCTTCCCTCTCAGAATGCGATTGACGAAAACTGGGGGAAAGATTATGACGGGCCGTCTATATGATGGAATTGTTAGGATTACAGGAAAGCAGGAACTAAAGCGCCGAAGACGCATTACCTCGTGTCACCAGTCCTCCACGCGGAAATCGCGAAACTCGTGCGTCTACGTTCTACTTGGCCACAACTTGCCACAAGTATGAGGCACCCTCAATTTATAGCATTTTCCTGAAACAGGCGGTAATAAAAGTCAAAGGTGGCCTAACAAAAATATTAAAATGTTATAAAAATAAACACTATTTCCTCATTAAAGTTATCTTTTAATTTATTTTTCGTTTAGATGTAGGACGTTTACGTCAATTTGTGGGAGTGCTTATATCCTAAGGCCCGTACGTCATCTACATTAAATTTTCTCTCATTATTGCTACGTTTCTCTTTTTCTCTTTTGTGTAAAGTTCACTTTAGATGGTCCGTAAAACGTGACAAAGTTCTTACACGACGATATACGTTACGTTATCTTCTAAATACATGACGTACAAAATTAGATATATTCCCATTCTGAATTTCGGCGCGAACTGTGACGGAGCCTGAATTAGACGATCCACACCTAAGATGATCTAAGGTGTGGAAAGGATTAATTCTACGTATTCTCGAGATCCTCGAAGTGAGCGACGTGCGGTCAATAGACTGCAACCGTAGCAGCTGCAATTAGACTCCGTCACTTTGAGAAGAGGAGACTCCGGTTCGGTCGAGGATCATAAGAAATTTCCGCTGTCGATGGAAAAAATTCGCACGTGTAAGTCGTTAGATTAAAATAGATCAGCAAATAATAGATGATAGAATAAATAATAGATAAGCGGATTTCGATACGCTCGAAAAACTCGAGCCATTTGAGACTTTGTTACCCATACGGCAGAAATATTCGAAATACATCATAGCGATACCCTAAAGATATCACGTATCTCAAATATATGTTATCTTTAGCGTATCCCTACAGTATATTTTGGACACTTCTGCTGTGTGAGTATGGAGTTAATTAAGGAACTGTCGGCTTAAAAGAAACTGTTGTCATTTTTGTAGATGTAACTTCCTCTTTTTATCTTCACTCGTTCGTTGTTTACGCCTATATTCATCTCGCGATAAGACATAAGATCCGAAAAGCCTATTCAGATTCTACGAGACTCGATATTAAACATCTTTCAATTAATCGCTGGATTTATAAATAACGTCGAAGCTAATAATTCGCGTGCGCGCTTCCTGAAAAAAAAAAGAAGTCATGTACGGGGTGAAAAATCGATGGACTCCATCCCGAATATTCACGGTGGATTTTTCGCGATCTGAAAATTCCTTCACATGCGGCAGTAATTTGAGAATAATCCGTCGAGTAAAATCTCTCGTCTTGCTGAGCAAAGTGCGTAATTATCGCGCGAGAGCTCTATTCGTTCCGTTTGCAGATTAATTTCCTCTTAATAAACAGGGGACGCTGCTTGATTGTTTACTCCGTAACGCTTGCATCCCTTTTTCCCGTTTGCCCTGTAAAAAAGACAAGATTCTTTAGTAAATAAGTAAATAAAGAAGCGCGAAATTTTCGACTTTACTTTTCATGAGGATGCATGTAACGCAATTTCACACATTGATTGCATAGTTTTTAAAATTTAAAATTTTAATAAATCAAATTTGACCATTAAATTTACAAGTTTAATAGCTAGATATTTATTTACTTTAGCTTACATGCTAAAAAGGGTTTAAAAATTTATACATCATTCATCCACGCAAAAATTAATCTTTGGATCGATATATTACCAAGTTTAAATTCTTTATCCCGTGCTTATAATTTCACCCTGGAAGTTTAGCTGGGGCATTTTAACGGCGCGGCGGCTACTCTGACGCGGGCCGCTACACGCGCGCGGGGCTTATCGCTTTTCGCTTCGCGCGATAAAATTTTCGTAATCTCGTCCGCCAATACGTTCCTTCTCGATTCGTCATCGAGATGCGAGATAAATAGGCGGAAGCCGGGACGTCGCGGCGGTGACTTGTCCGATTTCCTCGAACGGGCCAACGTGTCTTCCGTCTAATCGACGGGACGCCGAATTCGACACCGATCGAAGGCGATGATCATCGAGACACGCTTTTCTCCTTACGGTGAAAATCGAAACTCGAGAGATTTCGCCTTTCGAGAGAGGAACAAGAGAGGATAAGTCGATAACCGGAGAATTTCTTTTCGGATGTCAATTCCACGCAAAACAGCTGACAAGAAATCTCGTCTCGACTCCTTCGTCGCTAATTAAATAAACGTTGCGCAAAAACAAGAGTGTCGACGTTCTCGATCGATCGCTCTCGGCAGCTCTAAAATGTATTTCGAATGTGCGAATTAACACTTGGACGATTCGCCTATTGTAATCTTTATACCCGTCACGAAGATACATGGCTTTCGCTAATTGCTGTAAAAGTTGTAAATGCGAACGAGGCGCAACGGTAATCTATATAACACTGTGCAAAAGTTAAATTATAATAAAGTAGTACCATATCATTTCTGGAAAGAACATATAGCGCTTCTACAAGATTTGCCGTTCAGCAATTATTTGTACAAAAGTATATATTAAATTATAATATAGCTGCTAAAAATCTATAAAGTAACAATTCAACTTCGGTGAAGTATTGGCATGTATCCCTTCTATTTTTCGCCAACTTTCGGTGGCAGGAGTTGGAAGACAGATAATCGAACGCGTCTTTTTCCGCGAATATACAATAAACAATGGATATGTAAAACGGATCTATCATTCACGATTTTCACGAAGCGATTCGCGGATTTGAGGTCACGCGGTACGCTTCCGGGGTGTGCTTTCCGCAATTAAGGGAAGCTCTCGAGATGAGACTTTTCGGCGCGCTCCTCTTTCAGAGTTTCAGACGACGCTTTAATTAGAAACGCCCCGCGGCCTTCGTTCGCCGATCGAGAATCGATCGATCCGTCGCGTATCGCGCGGTCGTCGCTGTATAGATGCGCTGTGCAAGGGATGTCTAATCGACCGTGGCACACGACGCGTAATCGCCGCGTGTTTACGCCGCGGATTGAGGAGGCAAGGTCGAAGCCTCGCTCGAACTCGAGTTCGGTCGCGCGTTCCAAGAGCATCATTACCGCAAGCTAGGCGAGATAAACAGCAACCAGCTGATCGCCGTTCTCATAAACCAAACATGCTGATCCCGACCAAATCTCTTTCTCTCTCTTCCTCTTTTAGTCTTTTCGTCCGAGGAATATTTTGGAGTCGAACGATCCGCGGATCACTGTTTCCAGATCCTTCGAAAACTTGCCGAAATCTAATTTCCGAACTATATCAGATGGCCGTATTATTTACTTTCGGCCGATTCGCACAATAATGCTTTAATCGATTAAGATAGGACAGGAGAGGGGCGAGTGGTCTCTGAATAATTCAAATGCAAATAAAGAACAGAGTATCATTATGGTGAGGGAACGAAGTCGAGCGTTTCCTCGCAAATTGTCGAAAGGGTTTTTATCCCTACGTCAACGTAGGATCTCCTCTCTCTCTCTCTCTCTCTCTCTAAGAGAATATTGTCTATCGATAAAATCGCGAGCGCGGAGCAAGCGAACAAATTACGTTGCTGTGCTGCCATCTAGTAACAATACGCCGTATTAGTATGTTAGCAAGTACACTTTATTGTACTTTTTGCACTCAAAATGTATCATAAACCATATGATTGGACGTCATAGAAAAATGGAGTAAAGATTATGTATAAAAAGTAGCACAGCTGAGAACGTCTCTATTGTTATCTTGAAGTACAAATTCAACCTTTAAACGGTTGAAATGCGCGACTTTTCTTTCCTAATTTTTAGCTGCTTCTGAAATCACTATAATTATTCACTCTTGTCGTCCCTGTCTACAATATATTACATGTCATGTAATGCAATCGTATATAATCATGTATTCTCTGATTATACAATATATAATATACATCATTATGATCGGAATCGATTATGCTTCTCGAGGATGGAGAGAAAAAAAAATACTTGCCAAAAGAATGAATTAGAGAATAGAAGTATTCATATATTGTTCGTGTACAATGACGATCAAACTGAACGTGCACTCTCGCCGTTGGATTAATATAAACAATAATAAAACTTTATTTGCCACAATCAGTACTATCTAACCATGATAAGTTATATACACCATCTTCTCGAGTACCTAACACGACGCGTGGTATACAATAAATAATTTTCTTGCCATTTTAAATGCCAACAAGACGTAAAATATAAATTTGACTTACACAGAGAGTAGTTTTATTTTAATTAAATTATAAGTGCATGCAAACTTTTCACGTGTATGTAGAAATATATATATATATTATATATATATATATGTATGTATATGTATATACATATATATAAAATAACTCTAATATCTTAATCTTTATTCATAAACTTATTCTCAAGTATAACTATATTTACCAAAACCATATTTTATTGGTGAATGAAGCCATTAAACAGCATTAAATCGATGCGCCGTAGCGTCGACGAGTAACGTGGCAACGCTAACGCGGAAGTACGCGAATACTTGCGAATGTAACAATCTAGGCCGGTATTCGTAGATCCGTTCTTGTATTTAAGACCGTCTTTATGTAACAAACCAATCAGAGTTGTATTAACATGGTAAGACGTTACTTAAAGACGATCTCGAATGGAAAACGGACTATGAATATCGGTCCCTATTGCGCTCTTGTGGCGAAGCTTTACAATGCATAAGATCCACCATAGAAGTTTCATACATCTATTACTTTCACGCGTATAAACTCTTAGAGACGCACAGTGTTATAGCTCGGTTTTCCGGTACTGTTTCAACAGTTAAAACTTTTACACAAAGAAATGCAATTTCATTTTATCGATCGCGAGCGAGAGATCTTCGGATCGGTGTGTGTATCAGATTTCTCATCATTTAATAATATAATCGTTTGATACGATTGCATGTTATAAATGTGACATAATTATGTGTATACTTAGCGCTTCATTCGGAATTAATATGAGCGCTTATCGGATTATTCGCAAGCGTATTTTACTTTAAAGTGTGTATGTTTCTTTGTGTATGTGTATGTGTGATCCTCTCCCGCAATTCGATACCGTGACTCTTTTCAATCACGAAACTTGCGTGAACGCGAGTGGACTTGAATTCCAGTAGAGCACAGACTTAAAAACTAAAAGAACTTCAAATGCAATGTCAGCTTAATCGCATCACCGTACTCGTGCGGGTACAGATACGTACGGGGCGTATCACCGTGGGGGTGTGCCGTACAGCGGAATACAAGTATAATTCAACAAGAATCTACAATGGAATATGTACGTTTGTTTATACTCGCCACTAATTCAGGCTCAGCGTTTTTTTTTTCGGTAGAAAATCTTTTGTACATATATAAAAACATTAAAAGACACAAGCGTCCGCACGCTGATCGGTGTATGTGAGTTGGAACGACCAAATAAAGTCTTCACGTATAGTGTTAACCATCAGCTATTTTTTTTTTCTTTTCGGAAAGATTGTTATTTTATGTACTTCCAACGCGCGATTAAAAGCCGGCGTTTCGCCTCTTTATCCGATTATCGTTACGAAGTAATAAAATATTCGGCCGAACGTCCAGAAATATATTCATGAGCGACAATTTCAGAGATTTCTGTAACAACAGCGTGTGCGTAGTGTGCTCCCGCAACAGTTCTGCCACCGACGTACGATCATGCGGTCAATCGCTCTTTGACTTCCCTGCGGCCTCGCTGCAATCCGCCTTTTTCTCCGTATCGTCCGACTTCGCCTCGGTCTCCTGCTGGCTACCCTCGTCCTCCTCGTCGGAGTAATTTGTCGGTGCCTCGCCAGGCTTTAGTAACTTTCCGACGTATTCGTATCTCTCTATAATTAAAAGAAAAAAAAAACAACGTATTTTTACATTATACACAACCCCTTTCGCCCTTTTTGGATAAATTTTGTTGCGCGTCTTAATATTTATTTTAAACTTTTCATATTGCAATTCACTAAACCTAAGACGGACGTGTGCGATAAAAAAGCCTTGAACCATGCTCTCATTCATTATTCATGATATTCAAAGCTTCTGTGTATTGAAATAAGATGTGCTCACTACAGGCGAGGAATATCATTAGACAGAAAGTATTTACTTAGCGTCTAAAAAATCTATCCCGTCTGTATCTTATCAATGAGACGTTACGCTGCACTTTTTTTTTTCTAGAACGCCCTACATAGATAAACATCTCGGGAAGAAAATGTTCTCCACTAATGAGTGTTATTAAGATAAGATCGACTTCCGTAATATTGTTAATACTTTTAATCCATTTCTTACGTACATAAATTATGTCAACAATAAATATTAAAATATTAGCGCGACGTCGGGAAGTGGCTTTATCTAATTTCTTCTGGGGTTGGAAGGATTATCAATCGTTCGTTTTGAAACGCGCAGATTTGCTCACCTTTGAATTGCTCTTCCCACTCCTTGATGGAATTCATTTCTGTGGTGTTCAGGTCGCTCAGATCGTCATACTTGTCCGTCGCGGCGTCCACCGCGAACCTCGCGAGTGCTCTACTGGCATCCCGACCACCGAACGCCTCGTAGGGTCCACCTGTAAGCAAAGAGAGGTAAGTCAATATCCGTGTCCGTGTAGAGATTTTCGAGAGACGTTTTGCGCACGTCATTGTCATCCGATTAAAACACAAGCACGTAACTCCGCGACTTGAATCTTTATCTTTGCCCTCGTTAAGAAATCATCGATGATGTAAGATAATATAAAGAGGAAAATGTGCACAAGTGTGCGACATTCCTTCGTATATGCTAAGATCACCACGTGATCTTTTTCATACGATCGCGATCGTTCATTTATCATCTCCTCGCTGAGCTTTATCGCGCCGCTCGGCGGTGCCTTATCGATCACGAAAACGATCTCGGAACTCGCGAGTTTCGCCGATCGTGCATCCGCGCGTCCGTTCTACATTACTCGCGGACGTGAGGCCTTCTCGCCGGGGTACAACGTCACGGAACGTGATAAACCGCTATCGTTAGCCTCGCGGTATCGCGGCGCAATTGGAGACGCACAATTGGTCATGACAATCGCGCGAGACTTTCGCGATTTTATTTTTGCGCGCGCCGCGCATGATATCATCGCGGGCACTCCTTCGGGCCGCAAGCTAATAAAAAAGCGACTAATAAAGTCCGAGAGAAAAAGAGGTGGAGAGAGAGAGAGAGAGAGAAAGAGAGAAAGAGAGAGAGAAAGAAAAACGATAGAGAATGAGATGCGAGGAGGAAGAGAGGGGAGAGGGGACGGAGGGGAAGACGAGAGGAGAGACGGAGAACTAAATCACGACATTCGCGATCGGGGGAAAAAAAAACGCATCGTTCGATCGCCAAGCTTGATTAGAGTTCGTTAGAGATATCGCGCGATGATGAGGGAGAAATTGATCGCGGCAGATGCGGAGAAAGAGAGCCCCCCCGGACGACGCGTCGACGGACTCACCAGGGCCGTAGAACTTGGCGCCTCTGGTGACGTCGTACACGCTGCCGTTGACGGCGACGAGTATCCGGCCGTCCGGGCCCTTGCCGTCGTACTTGGTCAGCTCCTCGATCGCGAAGTCGCGGCGCAGCTTCGGCAGCTTCTTCACCTCCTGCACAGGCTCCTCGGTCCGCGTGCGGCTCTTGACGATCTTGTAGACCAGGATGGCGATCACGCCCACGAGGGCGAGGTTCACCGGGCTCTTGACGATCTCGGCGATGAAGCTCGACAGGAACTGCGACTGCTGCTGTTGCTGCTGTTCCGGGGCCGCGGCGGCCGGCGAGCCGCTTTTCTCGGCCATCTTGACCAGAACCAACCAACCGACTGACTGACCGACCGACCGATCTACCCAGTGGGCGAGGAGTGTCGTCGAGGAAGACGAGAGGTTACGAACGCGCCGGGAGACTAGAGAGAGAGACCGAACCGAAACGCGGCGTGCGCGATTCCGAACTTCTTATACGTGCGTCGTGCGTGCGTCGCGCGCACGAATGGCGCGTATATGCGTGTGGCGCGTGCCTGCCGACGCGTACGACTCGGAGCAGACTTAGAGGTCGGAGGAGCCGAGCGGGAAGGCTCGACTCGGGGAGGGCGGGCGGGGAAAACGGCGACGACGAGATCGTCAGGCTGCACCCGCGAACTGATATCGGCCGACTAGGCGCCGCTCGTCGACGAGGAGTGACGAGTGACGCGACTCGGGCGCGCGCGACGATAATCACGCGATACACCAACGATGCGTACCGGTGCGCGTTACGTAGTATAGAGCCCCCTCCGTCTCCTGCTCCGTTCTCTTCCTTCCCTCCCCTCGCGACCGTGTGTATATGTACATATAACATATACATACGCGCCAGTGGCGCAGATGGACGAGACTCGAACCGCGTTCTATCGTTCTACGTGGCTGCACCGCGGTGATGCGTCGCAGGGCCGTACGCACTGGAGATCCTGGAATAAAAGAGTCTGGCGATATATAATACGAGTTTAAAAGAGACGTAGAGAGTGTTTAATCCCCCCCCCTTTTCTCGCAGGATTTTACTCGTATCGCCTTACGGCCAGACTCTTATCCTAGAGTCTCTAATATCGCATCTAAATCTAATATCGAATCTAAAATCGAATATAAAATAATATCGTATAAATCTTAAAAGCGAGAAGGTGCAGAGGGAAGATTATTTTCCGCACGAAAAAGTATGACGCAGCCCGTGCGCGGCGATTTTAATCCTCTAATTATTTTTAGAAGTCAATAAATTAATTAGTTTATAAATTAGTCAATTTTACTTATTTAACATTTTACTAGTTTATCATTATTATAATTTCTAATTAATTCCTTCTCTCTGACTCTCGATTTCTAATTTCTATTTCTCTCGAGACAATTTTTGATTCTGATTAACTGGAAATCGCGAGCGATTCCTGGCTTGATCGATTCGCGCTGCGCGCATTAATAATAACGCTGGCAATGATAAGGATATGTATCCAGGCAAAAAATTGGGACTTTGCATCCTCGCGTGTTCGTTGACGTAACACGCCGGTGTCATTGTACACGTAGGTCGCGTGAACCGTCGTGGCATAAAATTCTCACCGGCAATTAACGACGAACTTTTTCGGCTCCGTAATTGATATTCAGCCTTATCTGACAACGTTTTTTGTCACCGTATTCGTTCATCTATTCGACATTTCGCTATTCGATCTATTCAAATTAAGTTCAAAGGAATTCGGGGCAGGATATACCGATCGATCATATATCATTTTTTCCCTAAGACAGAAAGACGTGAAAAGTGAAAATCTCTCTCATTGGAATTAATGGAGAAATTTTTCACTTTTCACGAAGTTTTCGCGCGCCTTAGGGAATAAAGAGTTACATATTATACTTGATAATATATATACATTATCAAGTACTCAGAGATCATTATCAAGAGACGCGTCTCACGCGCAGCGAGAAGTCGCGTAGAACCGCGGCGAGATACCAATAGTACGAGGTAGTATATCTGTATATCTCTGTAGTTGTACTCATTTATTTTTCTGCGAAGTTAGAATGTACCGTTTCTCGCTTCCTCTCTCTCTCTCTCTCTCTCTCTGTTGGGCGAGAAACAGTTATGTCGCGAGAGGAGAACGAGATTACACGAGCTAGCCACGACCGGGAGGATTACCGTCCTCACCGTGAAATTTGCACTTCTAGAATTTCGTAATAGAAACTGGCCAGGAGGATCGGCGCTATCATACTCCCGCGGGCTCGTTATCGCGCTATCGCGGCCCTCGTCGCAGGGTCTCGGTCGCGTATCGCCGGAGACGCCTATACATGTACTCGGTGATTTATAAGAAAAAGAAAACGTATATAATTACGCTCGTCGATTCTTCAGAGTCATGCTACGTAAAGTCACGTGTTTCAGATATAGATATATATGCACTGTATGCATGTATTGTATATATATGTGCGCGCCGTCGCGATTAGGTTGGCCCCGCAATTATGACGGTCACGGGACCGAATGTAATTATGATTATGGCAGGATCCTCGTTACTTTTACTATTTTGTTTTTCCAACTTTACGTAACGCGGAGCAACTCGCGCGACGCAACTTTATCGTAAAAACTGCATGCCTAGATTTTCTGTAAAACGTGTACGATCGCTGACGTTGCAATTATATTGTTCGAAATATATGTCTACTTCTACGTATGCGGTTATTAATTTTTACGGTTCCAATCTTTTTCTAGTTCTAATCCTTGGAGCTAGAAAAAGTTAGAAAAAATAAGCTTTTTCTTAAAAAACCAAGATTAGAGTTAATTTACATTGACAAAGGTGGACGTGAAGAAGTTTATTTTTTTATTACTGTACTGAATTTCTCTCTTTTTTGCTTCCGCTAAATTTTCAACATCATTCATTCAAACAATCTATTTCAAGTACAGAGTGTACATGTAATAGGTTATGTTTTTAATTTTTTCAACTATGATTCAGCTATAAAAACATAGTTATTATAAAAATATATAATTCAGTTATAATGAACAGAACTGGGTTTGTTCTTTACAGCCGAATTCCTTCCTTCGATTGTATACTATTCTTGCTTCAAGTAAAAAGCAGCCAAAGAACAGACCTACTATTTTGTTATGCAGATTTGTTGAATATACCACGCATTCAAACCGCAGTCATTTTATTTATGGCAATTGTCTACATTAAAACGCAGCTCGCGTAGCAAATGACACTGAGTCTTTGATATATATATAATATATATTTTGTATATATAATCTACTTGTACTCGCGGATAAATTGTACTTACATGGACGGCACTGTTGTAACGAGAATACTGACGTTCTGTCACTTCCAAGTCAATCAGAATATTCTATATTTACTATCGCTATTGTTTGTAGATAAAGGCACTCTGCGCTACCTCCTAATTACATCGTGTTTGCCCGAGATTTATGCGATAGTAACCAAGACACCTGTCTGATTCGTGCGACAAGATAAATCTATATATAAACTTTATCTCCTTATTACATCCCTAGTTAGTGTGAACCAAGCTACAGCTGCCGCTCGCCTACATCGACGAATGTACCCTTAAATACGTGTAAGAAGTATTTGTACACGTTTAAACTCCCATAAAATCTTTCACGCGTTTAAGCCTTTATAATCATCTTCTCCTCCTGATAGTCGAGATATGGACGGATATCGGTGACGGACGACACGGCCTCGGAATTAACCCTCTCTGAACACATCGGACAAGACTCCTCGGATTCCACGATTCTAATAACAAATTATGTAACAAATTACATTATAACAAATAATCTGAAATAGTATTTACATTCTTTTCTATTGACATTTACCTTAGAAATTCACTTTTGATGGCTGGAAAATCGCACTGGGGGCACACCGTAAAATCGTCCTCCACGATGTGTCGTCCCTGCAGACAATAACGATAGAAATTTCTTTAGAAACGATCGGCGCTATCTTTTTTTTTTTCGTTAGCAAGTGATAATTAAAATTGAGGGTCTCACCGTTGCGATGCAAAAAGGTATGGTATTTTTACACTTATCACAGGTCACTTCAGTCTCGGGGACTCGGCTCTTGCAGTACGGGCACGGGGTGAGAGGCTCATCCTCGTTCTCGATGTCCTTCGCTCTCGGCGGTTTCCTAACGATCGCCTCGATCTTCTTGCTGTACTTCGCGTCGACCTGTCCCCGGTACTCGGGGCGCATCAACATCGCGGCGAAATTGAAGGCCGCATTCTTCAAGCCCGCCCTATGGCATTCTATTACGGTCGAAGTTAATATCGGTACGATATCTGAAATATATAACGTATCTCCATTGTATTATGAGCCGAGTATTAATTCATTTGCGTTAATTGGAGCCGCGCGGAGCGGCTTTTGTCGTTCTGGTGATACTAACGTGAGGGAAATTTCGATATGTTGTTGGCCACCCTTATGAGCATCCGGGCACCTCGTAAATGATCGCTTCTTTTCACGTGTAATCTCACCAGAATGTAGGAATGCAGGAGTCTCAAATTGGTCTGCATCTCCAAGGGTATGGTGATTTTGTTTCTCTTCAGTTCCTGGTACATGCCGAACAGGACGTCGTGAGCGTTTCTGTAGTTTCCTGAAGTAGAAGAAAAAATCAGCCATCGCTGTAGCGTTATGCGTTTTCGCTATCAGCATAAATACGTACCATTAACTTGCTCCTCGTTTGCAATTATAATCGCCGTCTTAGCCGCTTCTTTGAATTGCTTTCTAGCCATGTATAATCGGAACAGATATTTCGGATCCTAAAAGAGGATACACACATATTATAGAATCTTTCTTTTTAACTAATAAATACATAAATGTATATAGAAATAGATAAATATAAAAACCTTCGGTAATCCGTCGCTGCCTAACAAGAAATCTATCAATTGATTCGCTAATTTGTCGTCCTTGGAAGATGCGATAGCATCTATGGCGTAGGTAATCGCTCTGTCATCGTCCGGAACCAATTGCGCAGCTTTTAGTAAATGTCGCAGAGCCTAAAAAAAGAAACCCGTCAAAACGTCGATACTACTTACATAAATAAATCTTGAGATCGTAAAAATATTGCAAATTTACCTTCTGATATTCTTTAGAGTGGAAATAGTATTTTCCAGCTAAAAGATTATTTTTCTGAGACTCAAAATGCATCGCGAGGCTTCTGAAATCTTCTCTCCGAATGTTCGTGTCATCGATCGTATTCACCAAGATTTCTCCGTACAATTCCATTTTGCCGTGCTGATTGGCCAATTGAAAGGCTTCGTCGTGACAATTTGACAGAATGAGGAATTTGATAGCTGAATTGTAGTCGTTCATTTTTTGGAAATATTTTGCAACCATCTTTGCACCTTCTATGCTTTTAGTTTGTTGAACAACTTCAACACTACGAGCTGTGGAAATAAAATAATGCAATCAATCATGTTAATTAAACATTAATAATATATTTTATTACAGGGCAGCAAAATGCAATGTAAAAATGTTTACCAGGATTATTTAAATGTTCCAAGTTAATTCTGATTATGTTATCGTAATCCTTGGCGGTCTCATACGCTTTGGCAGCTTCTTCATATTTGCCCTCAGACTCTTTGGCTTTTGCATACTGTATGTTAATTTTCGCCGACGATATTTGCGGTAAGAGCTGTCCCACTTTGTGCCAATTTTTCAGCTTTATATACGCAGAGGCAGCCTTGTCGAAGTACTCGGCCTTTTCGTACAATTGCGCAGCTTCGCTGAATTGCTAAAGATACACAAATATTTACATGTAATATAAAAATACATTTAAATCTCCGAGATTTAATAGAGACGAATGTACCTTCATTGATTCTAAAATCTCCGCGCATTCTTTCCGCAGTAGTCTCGAGCTCTCGTTATCCATGGCTATCCCGACGCCTTTTCTGCTATCACCGCATCTTATGGACATTCTCGCTATTCCCGCTAAACATTGAGTTCGATGGTGAGGATTCTGCGCGGCCAAAGTGGACGTGTTGTAGTCGACTAGACCGCGTTCGTAATTCGTTAGAGCTTTTGGATAGTTTCCTCTGCACAAAGAGATATAGTCACTTAATAATTATTTATAATATACGATAGAAGGCTGTTTTGTGAAATATTTTGTTGAAGATAAGCAACTAGGTAATAATAATTTATAATTATTACGTACTATCATCACACATAATTTGATTTTATTTTTAATGAAGCATTTAATAGTATTAATGAAAAAAAATCTTACGTGAACTCCAATTGTTGGGCGTATTCTCTGGCGATAAAGGGGATCTCGTCGGGTTTCAATTTTTGCGCCAAACTCAACGCTTGCTCCCATTGCATTAAGTCTCTCCTCAGATACAAGGCCTGCACAGGCTCGGAAGATTGCAGAAAATACTTTTCGGCTTCGTTATAATTCCCTAGTAGTATACATGCGTGGCCGCACAACAAAGCCAATTCATCTATATTCTCCATAGTTTGCAACGTCCACACCATTGCTGCATCTTCCATTTGCCGATACACGCGAATAGCTGTGCGTACGATAAATTTAACATATATATTTTAATGTAACATAAAATTTTAATGTAATATAAAATTAATGAAACATCACGCTTACCAAATTCGACATTTAAATTTGCAATGGCGCTTTGTCCCAATTTCAGCCACGCATCTCTATCGTTCAATTTTTCGCAACTACCCCACGCTTGCTGAAACCTGAATAAAATAATCCGAAACGTTCTTTTAAATATTTACACGTTTCGTACATGATAGACGTTTCTTTATTTGCAAATTGAATTATGTAAATCTTACCGTCTGCATAAAATCTGATTATCAAGAATCTCATTCATTTTTTTCGTTTCCACGATGTTCCCCACTTCTTCGTGGGACGTCAATGTTAATTGTATTAATTTACTACCCATTGTACTCAGCGTCACTTCGCCCGAGTACATTAGTAAAGGCACTGAGTCCGATGGCAATTTGGTCTTACTTATTTTTATCACTTTGGTACCTGTTCGCAGTAACGAATATGTAAATATGCAATGGGATTCGATGGTGATAATAGCGTAACGCTCTCGTTCAGATCTACTTGCCTTCAACGAAGTATTTTACAAGAATGTACGTTACAATAACGCTTTTGTTGTACACCGCGAATATAGCACGTTCGAATATGTTCTGATCCCAGAGAAGACCGTCAATGTTATCGGGACAATCAGGCACGGCAATGGCCGTTTCGTTTATCGGATCAAACACATAAACGTCCGACTTATTGTCGACGAAGCACAATTGTACTCCATTCGCATCCAGGTATAGCTCCTTTATTCCATTGTTATGCGTAAATTCGGTACACTGATAAAACGTTTCCAGGCAAAAATATGTAACGTGACCCATCTAAAAATTTAAAACGGACGCATTAAGTCTTCTAACTTAAAAAAAGTCTTCTCCAATATCGTTCGAAATTATCTCAGGATGACGTTGACTTACGTCATTACCGTAAACCAGGAAATCCGAGCAAAGAGCGTGACACGTTATTCTACTGTGGGAAGAATTTGAATCGGGGAACATCTTCGTATCCTTCCCGCTGTTTATTAGAGCCTCGTCGGATTTGATCTGCGCACGAAGGTTGGAATTAACGAGTCTTAGTCCTAGCTATCCGGGCTATTCTCGCTATTAATTCGAAACTCGTAATTACCGAATGCAACTGCAGCTTCCCATCGAATAGCGCCGATACGTACGTCTCGTTCAAGCGTATGCTATCTATCGTGGCCAAATAATCCCTCTCGAAATGTATATTGTCATAATGGCTTGTAGACAAATCCCAGAAGAGCGCTCTGTTGTTTAATCCTACCGCTAAGTGTGCTGGTCCCACCGCCAAGATCGCCGGTTCTATTATAGTGTTGATTATCTGCGGGCTCGGTTTGTCCTGAAAATATGAGCCCTGATGAAACGAAATCCACTTTTATTGCCTTGCGTCGACGGAAGTACCTTGTCTAACGTATAAAGATGCACAGCCACTTCCATCAGGCTCGTCAACAGCGCTATTCTGTTGCCGCAGACGCTGGTTAACTTCGGGATCTCTATCAAATAAATCAAGACATTGCCGACGTAAGTCACGACTGCCAGCATCGTGCCGTCCGTCGACCACTCGATACTGCTGATTCCGTTCTCGCTGGTCACCGTGATCAATGTCTCGGTCTCCTCGAGATTCTGCAAACTGTGCACCTTCAGCGTATTGTCGCCGCAGGTGGCCACCTTGCCGACCGCTTGGCTCAGCGCGATGTCCGTCAGAGAATCCCTGTGGTTCTTGATTTGAAATAATTCTTGACCGACCTCCTTTATGTGCGTCGATATCGCTATAAAGAAACCAGCCTCGAATCCCACCAGTATGTAACCATCGCCATACCTGAGAGAGTAGAAATGCATAATATTAGTACAATAAATCAGCCGTTAAAGTTATTTGTTTTACCACTAGCAAACAATTACCACTTATAAGTTACAATCAATCCGTAGCGTTTCTGAAAGGCCAACTCGATAGGATTCTCTGGGTCCAGAATGTTGTACAGGAACAGCGTCGTTTTGCTGACGACAAGGGACACCTAAATTTTTGCACTTATAAAAATAACAGCTTTACGTAGACATTTTACAGGATGCTTCTTTAATTAAGCAAGCGTAAAATCGTGTACCGTGTTTTCGCCGCCTATCCTGTGGTCCATTTTCATCTCGCTAAATTGTATGTCGGATGGATCGCCTTGAAGACTTATCTCGCGACGGGTGTCCCCTTCGCTCGTGCTGATAGTCAAAACCTTGTCATCGCTCGCCAGGGCGAGGAGACCGTCCGCCGACCACGCGCCGCACAAGATGCGCTTTCTGTGCTTTCCCAAAATAGGTATCCGCCTGTGCAACAGAAGAACAATTAAGTGAGTGTAAATTTGATTTTACAATGTCCTAAGCATTTCGCGATTTGTTTCGTCGACGGCTGATATCGTACTTGGCATTTATGTGATCGTAAAGCACCAGATTGCCCTTCTGCGTTCCTACCGCCAGCAGACAGCTCTTCTTCGCCCACATCATGCAGGTGAGGCCGTCCCTCACGCCCGCGTCTATCTGGGACTTCTTCCCGGTCGTGGCGTCCCACAGAATGATCGTCGACGAGTTCTGCGATATTATCGCCAGCAGATCCCCGTCCGAGTCCCAGCCGAAGCCGCTGCACAGTCCGGGGATCGGTATCCGCTCCTGTATGTCACCCTGCCTGTCGAAAACGGCGACGGTGGAGTCGCAGCCTGTCGTGGCCAGATGCGTGCTGTTGCCGGGACGCCAAGAGATGTACATGTTCCCGCTGCCATGGGGCTGGTCCAGCCGATAAAGGACCTGTCGTTAAACGCGTAAAGTTAAATCAAAATTAACTTCCTCGCGCAAGAACATTCGTCGCGTGCAAGTGGAGGTTAACTAGCGTGAAATCCGCTCAGCGGTAGATGAAACGAGACGGACGGAGATACAGACTTGACTTGATTAAAGTAGAATATATTTCTCCCCCTTTGTATCGTTAATATTGACGTTTTTATTAAACAATCTTCTGTGTAAAGTACGAGCTGCCGATGCTACATAACCTACCTTCTCCGACGACATCGTAACGCGGAGAACTCGTCCCTCACGGAGAAATTAGTCGATCCGCGCATTTAAATGACATGTCTATACGGCATTACAATGTGCATAGCTTAAATATTGATTTATTAAGCGGCGTCGCTTTCGCGTGCCGACATATCTCGTATGTCGGCCATATTGTTTACCTCTGTCGTGTCGCTTTCGCGATCGATTTGCATTCACGGACGAGGGGAAAACAGCTAGATAGCATAACTCGATAGACAACTGGAGATAACGAGATCATCGACGGTTGGTAGAGGAAAAGTTTATCAGAGTTCTCTAATTATCTTTTTTATCAGTTTTTAATCTCGTCGGTGATTTCGATAATTTCTTTTTTTTTTTAGCTGATATAAAGAACAATTCAAACTCATCCTCGTTAATTAAATTATATCAGCTAATTAATAATAATAATTATATCACAACTGAAATAATAATAATTATATCACAACTGAAATAATAATAATTATATCGCACTGAATAATAATAAATTTCAATAATTAATAATACAATAAGAATGTGTAGCTATTTCAATAATTAAATTTCTTTGGACACTAATATATATTTGTCAAATTATTATAGCTCCGAAACAATATATTATAATTTTTGTTAAGATTCTGCTTGAGCGTCCTAATTGCTGCTGATCTCTTCGGACACAACGCGCATTATTCAACTGTAGAAGGGAAACGATAGCGAGACATTGAATGTAAAAGAAAAGGCGTGAACGTACAATTTTGTTAGAAAAATGTATATTTTGTAGAAAGGGTCCTTTTACTTAAATATGAATTCATTTTGCGATTAATCGCAGCAATCTGCTATCGCGTCCGTCAATATCTCGGCATTCAAAGGAATCTCGCATTGTTCACGTGGAAAGATAAATATTAATCACACAACTGACAACGTTATATACCAAAAACATGTTTCGCAGTATCAATCGTCATAACTGTATATATACAAAGAGTAACTATGTATTAACTATATCTTATATTACATGCATACCAACAGTTTTTAAGTAAAAAAAAGTATCAATAGTATAGTCTTATCGAACGAAAAAACCCTTGTAATTACACGTTATATTGGATTCACCCAAAAGCTTCGCTCTAAAGACGAATGCTATATATCGTCTTTAGGACGTGGCCTTTGGTTTCAGTTCCTCGTAACACGATCTCAGGAAGATCTGGTTTTTCTTCGCCGGATTGTAGTACTCGTGACCCTGAAACGTTTATAAGTCAATAATATTACATATACATGATTAACAATTATCGTGCTTCGAAACGACAGCGGTACCTTGGACCAATCGTAAGAAACGGCGTACGCGAATATCTGGCCGTTGTGATTGAAGCAGCAACGGGTGATGGGCTGCTCCATTATCTCGGAGGATTTCAACTTCGTACGTGCGTCCTTGTCCCAAAATCCGAAAGTACCGTCGCCGCCTACGGTCGCCACGGTGCCGTGTACCGGGTGGAATGCTATGTCGTTTACCTGTCCGCGAATCGATAGATTATCGCGTTTGTCTAAGAAGACAAAGAACGACGTAACACCATCCTAATTTACAGCAATTTTGGCTGGGATGCACCGGTACCCATTTGCACCAGTTCTACACTGTGTACTGGTGCAGACCAGCCGAAATCACTATTAATTTCACTATTAATTTCGAAAACCATGGTTGCTCCCTTCTAAGGAGTATTGTGCCGGATATGTATTAGTGTTCTACCGGAAGGTCATCAATTTTGATCACGCTTGAGCCGAAGACAGATCATCAAAATTGACTCTTCTGCCAGAGATTTTTTTCATTGACCCCAAGAAAAATCATCGTGTTTTCCCAAAATGGTCATCAAAATTTAAATTTAAGTTTAATTTAAAGGCGCTCGCCCGGAGATTTCTTTTCGCGTGCCGGAGAGCCGGAGTCTCATCCGGGCGAAAACCGGAGAGGTGGCAACCGTGATTGAAAACAGGAAGTCTACAAACCGCGTAGATGTCTTGATATCCATTAGGTGTGCCGTTGGTCCGGTGGCACTTGAACGTGAAGTTCTCCTTTGAGCTGAGATTTAGATGATGAATCGCAACACGTCCCTCCGTGCTTCCAATCGCAAAACCGGTCGGCGCCTTCTTCTTGTCCCTGAAGATCGCCACGCAGCGGTACTGATACTTCAAACTCAGCTCGACGGGTTTGTACTCGCGCGGGCTGTCCTGCAGTTGATAAACTATTAAGCCGCGTCCGGCTGTTCCCACAACTGCCATGGGGTAGTCCTGCAATATCGTTAATATTAATAATACTGCATGTCATGTGTAGCATGTTTTTTTTTATGGATATATGTGCACTTACAACATCCGCGCAATAGCATCTTTCAGGCAGAGGGATGGTCATTGCAGGTTTAGGACTGCGTAAATCCCAAAACTGAAAATTGTGATAGAAAAGTTAAGAGCTGTATTAAAAAATATTTTAATAATAACAATGAAGAAAAGTCATCTAAGAAAATTGACGAGCTAACAAGCAAAGAATTTATAAAATATAACATTATCTAGTCCCGAAACACAACAGATGTACGTAGTAAGTCTTAAGCCGTAAGAAATTGATCAATCATAATCGATTAGTCTCTTCACATTCAACTGCGATTGGTCCATTTCTTATGGCTTTCTTAAGACTTACAACATCTATTGTGTTTCAGAACTTAAAATAATACTGAAAATTAAATATTAACCTTTAGCGTCTTATCCCAGGAACCAGTCATTAGACAAGAATACGTGGACGCCTTTATCCAGTGACACGTTCTAATAGGCGCGTCATGAGCCGCTACCTGTACGCTCTGATTCGTAGCCAGGTCCCAACACTTTGCCGTCTTGTCGCAACCCGCCATGAATACTTTGGTTCCATCCTAACAATTATTACGTAGCCATTATTATAAGTGCATAATTGGTCTGTTTTCTATACCTGAATTAGTGTACACTCTTTGCACTTAAAGTGAAATATGTACAGTAGTGGACAGAATTGTTGCAAAATTTTTTTTTATTTGGATTCAAAACGCACTAACACTATTTTGCAAATGTGAACCACGATTGGTGTACTGTCTCTAGACTAAAGATTGTACTAAGAGTGCGTTCCATTTAACGCTCACAACGCTCTTGAAATCATTTCGTCTTCGTTGTTTATCAAACATTAAACAAGGACAAGTAATGTTCGCGAGCGTTGCGAGCGTTAAATGGAACACAGCCTAAGTACACCAATCGTGGTTTGCATTTGCAAAATAGTATGCACTGAAACCAAATTAAAAAAAAGTGTATAGGGTAACTGTCCCTTAGTGTGCCCTGAACCTATTAGTGTGCTTTTATATTTAAATAAGTCATAAAAATAAATTGGTACAAATATATAGTCAAAGTTATTTTTTTTTATTAAGTTAAAGTATTAACTTTATAGAAAAAAAATACTGTCTAAAAAAATATTGTCTATTTATTTGTACCAGTTTATTTTTATAACTTATTTAAATATAAAAGCACACTAATAGGTTCAGGACATACTAATAGGGACAGTTACCATATATATATATATATATATATATATGTTTGATATCTAGCAAAAGTGAGAAAGAAAATTCTAGAACAGTCCAGTACGGGAATAGAAAACAGACTTAATATTTAACGCTGTTAAGCAACTGCTTTTGTCGTAAATAATTGCATAATTATCGGAGGGGCTTACATCGCTCCAGCAAACGTCCAGGACCGGCGCTGCCATACTCTGCATGGATTTCGGTACCGTTTTACCGGTCTGCTCTACCTCCCAGCAGCGAACGTTGCAGTCCCAGGAGCCGGCCACGAGGAAATTTTGCGGTATGGACGCCGGGCTGAACGCCAGACTGGAGACCGAGTCGTCCGGCGGCGAGATAACCTCGAAGTCTTGCATAGGATTCGACGTATTCGACGTCGCCGTCCTCAACGAGTTGCTCTGATTGAACATTTTCTCTCCTGATAGGTTAGACTGATCGGAGCACTTGGGTCTGCTATCTCTGTGACGGGACAGACACGTTTAACTCTCCGTGACTCCCATTACTCCTCCTCGTGCGAAACGTATGCGACTGTTTACTTACTTGCGATTATTTACGTCATCCAGACGAGAACGGGCATTCTACATTATCCACGCCAGGCAGGAGTTAAGCTCAATTAAGTCTGAATTCGAACGAGAAGCTGAAAATATGGAGTAAACGTTCCAGCCGGAGCCCGATTTACGGATTTAACCAAAACAAAAAGCCGACTTGTCTCGAATAATCTCGAATCTCGATCGCACTTGGCTTCGCGCATGCGCGGCAAGAAATACAGGATACTGACATGGGGAACTATTTCGGAATGCATACGACATTTATGCGATTTTACTTGTCTGTACGATGAAAATTTTCAAATGATAATTAATATGACTTATTGAACAGAAAAATCCTTTTATTGCTAGAATTTCGAGTTAAAATTTTTCTTAATCTATGGCTAATCATATTTAAAAGAACTTATTACATTATTTTGCGTTGATATTATGTAAATAATTTATTTATATAAAAATAAATAATATAAATATTACATTACATACTAGCCTGGCTAATTGATAATGATTACATATTTTGCTTTTAAATTTGAATGATAATACACAATATTTTAAACCACAAGGCAGACCGCACAAGTATTTAATTATTAGCCAATTTTTAAATCATATAATAGTGAACAATTTAAAACTTTTTTTAAAAATAAATTGTTAAAATTTTCCTACTTTGCATAAAATCCGTTTGCTAGAAAACGGCGTTACAAAAATGAAAGAATCTTTTCAATTTGTACAATATAAAGAATAAATTTATTTGCATATTACATTAGGTCTTAAAACCCTGAGCGGTACCAGATCCATAAGTGCGATCCCATTCGATGTAAATGTTCAAATCCGACTGAGACACGCTGGGTCGCACGTTGATCAGCGCCTGCTCGAAGTCACGATTCGTTATGTGCCTCACTTCTTCCATCCTTATATTTTCGAGTTGACTGAAAGAGATACTCCGGATCGGCTCCATGCTCGCTTCCTTGCAGAGATTCGTCATGTCGGCGCCGGAATATCCGGCCGTCTTGTCCGCGATCGTCGCGATATCCTCCTCGATAAGATGGTGATCCACAGATTTCAATAAATTAACTATTATCTGCTTGCGCGCCTCGAGCTCCGGCAGAGGAACGTACAGTCTCTTGACGAGACGCCTCCTCGCCGCCTCGTCCAGCTCTTGCGGCCGATTGGTCGCACCGACGATCAGAATGCGATCGTCCTCGGACGTCGCCGCGCCGTCCAGCTGCACCAGAAACTCCGTCTTCAGCCGCCTGGAGGACTCGTGCTCCGTCTCCGAGCGCTGCGTCAGCAGCGAGTCGATCTCGTCGATGAAGATTACGGACGGCTGATAGACCTTGGCCACCGCGAACAGCGCGCGCACCATCTTCTCGCAGTCGCCGATCCACTTGGAGGTCAGGGAGCTCGCTGAAATGGAGAAGAACGTGGACTTGCTCTGCGAAGCTATGCACTTGCCGATGAGGGTCTTTCCCGTGCCGGGCGGGCCGAACAGCAAGATCCCCTTGGGCGGACGGCGGAGACCCGTGAAGATGTCCGGCCGCAACATGGGGAACACCACCACCTCCTTGACGATCTTCTTGATGCCGTCGAGCCCAGCGATGTCGTCCCACGTTATCGTTTTACCCGAATCCATGATCTCGTTTTTTATCATCTCGATCATGTTCGGGTCGATGTTCTTCAACCTCTCGTCCTCCACTTCCTCGCTCGCTTTTCCTTGCGACGTGTTGTAACTTTGCGCCGACTCGTCCTTATCGCGTTTGAACGGACAGACGAATTGAGAATTCGCCGCTGTACGACCGCCCAAAGTCTTCTTCGGCGCCGACTTGTTCCTCTTCATCTCCTGGATGTACAATTCGTCGCGGGCGCTCCTAAAGGCCTCGAGAGGGACCTTTTGCGTTTTAGTGTCTTCGCTGCTGGACTGTGGAGGAGCAGCTGGCTTTAATTGCAGTGAATTTATCGGTCTGTACGAGTTCCTACCATTCATATCGTTATTGCTTAATTTAGGAGGCACTTTTTGCACAAATCTGTCCAAATTCTGATAGGAAGATTGACTATTCGTTTGTACCTTGGGTACAGTCTGCTTGGTGTAACTTACATGCTTACTAAAGCTATCATTTCTGGGAATATTCGCGAAATACGTAGATACATTTTGTTCACTGTTATTGGGCTTCAATGAAAGCTCTTGACTCGAATTTGGACTAGAAGATGCTTGTAACTGCGAAGAGACTTTTCTATTTCTTACTCTCATATCCTTCTTCTTAACGCTATTCATTATTTTTTCTATATCTCTATCATTGTAAGATCTCTGTTTGCAGGGTAAAGTATTGAGCTTCTGACAAGTCAGAGGTCTTATAAAATTCAACGTGGCATCCTCATCCTCTAACTTCGACTTCCACTTCAACGGATCATTTTTCACATCTGACAGTTGAGATTTAATCTGTTTCCAGTAATTGTTTACTCCGTTCTTGTCTTTTATTAGTGCATGATAGTCTTCAAAACCCCTTTGAAGCAACACAGCCGCCGTATCTTCCGAATTACTGCGCAATAAGTTATAAGTAATTAAAAATTAATGTTATAAATCTAACATGACAGAAAACTAGGCATGCATATATATATATATATATGTATGTGTATTTTACTCACAATAACCTCGTTGTCATATGCTTCACGATAAGAGACCTGCGTTCGATGTCTGCAACGTCGAAGCAGTCTTTATTCTTCTTTGAAAATTTCAGAGTATGATAAGCAATCAAAATGTTATTCTTATCGTCCTTTGAATTTAGCGTAACACGCTGTACATTTGCACCGGCAAAATCTGTATCCCTATTCATGTCGAGACCCTCTGACACGTCGAGATGTAATAACTTATATTCACGTCGCGATACTACCGCGTCGCTTGATTTATCTAATAGCTTTCGACTTTCGAGGATTATCGTGACTCAAACATTATCACGTCTTAGCAGATTCATTTGGCGCGCAATACCTTTACATGTGACAATAACAACTTTAACCTTTAACATCTGTTACGGCATGAAATGCGTGTTTAGAGAATGCACACTTCAAAACGTACTTCAGACGTGATCATACGATTCATGTCACTGTTGTGATTGGCTGCGAAGTAGAGGCGTCCAAGAAAAATTTATAAGAATTACGGCCGATCTCCGATTAGCTTTATTAGGTTAAGACTTCTCTTTTCGTCTTTCTAAAAGTCTAATTAAAGTAAAAATGAATACTATGAATGTATGTTTTTTCGATTTGTTATCCGTGTATTATAAAAAATCAAAAAAATTGACTCCTGGAACGATTTGTCTTATTTTATATAAATTAATTATCAAAATTGAAAGTTGCGATCCGAACAAGGTTAGGTTACAGCCGCATTATCCTTTTACGCAATGCAAAACGTGACGCTCCCCATGCTCAATGTGAAATGTCGCGCGCGAGCAGCTTACGTGCCATTTATATAGTCCCGTACCGCACCACTCGCGCTCCAATGAACGCGGAGCACTGCCGCGCCCGCGGTGCTTGCGGCGTCCGAGCATTTCAATTGAATAGGCTTTAGCTTTCGCGTGAGATATATAAGGCAAACGCTACGCTCCCGAAACTTGGGGGAGACAGACAGAGGGGGATGCTTCGAGGTTGCTTCTGACGAGCGGACGGCTTTCGAGGCTTCCTGCTGTTGAGTGGTTTCGCTTGAAGTGGATTGTGACGACCTATTTGCGTGACTGGTGGTTTTGCGCTTGCCTTGTTAGCGGTCGCCTCTCGCGCTCGTGAAGCGCGGTGGCGACTACGGATGTTTCAGCTCCTGGACATCCCTCCACCTCGGAGGGTACATCTTATGAGACTCCACCCGGACTCGGCCTAAAACGCCATGCTGACGACCGCGATTCTGCGGGACCCTTAAATCCGCCTGACAAGTTTCTCCGTTTGGAGAAACCTCATTTCAAGGACACACAAGGTAGTATCAATTTATCCAACCGTTTCGAATGTCTCATGGACCTCATCGAGCCGGACGATGAGGAGAATGGCGAAATCAGAACCCA